CAGTCAGCAAATTACCTGTATCAGCTTATTTCTGTGTATCAAGGTAGAAATTAATCACATGATTATAATATCTTATGTAATGGAATCTTAAAGAATCTAAACATCAGAAGCTGCAGCCTTCAGGCTGATAGAAAATGGATTATTTGCCTTCTGCAGCCTTTCACTTTCTAAGTCAAGCTATTTCTTAGCCATTGCCATAAGGTGCAGGTTTGTTATTTTTCTTCTGCAATTTAAAATGTGTCTTAAGTAAACAAAGTTTCTTATCAAAGTGTCTGAACCTCCTACAGTCCCACTGTGCTCAGTGGGGTGCTACTGGAAAAATAAAAGTGACAGTCCCTCCGCCTCCAGATGTCCGTTGCTAAATGCTTACTTACATCTGTTATACACACAAACCCAGCACACATCCAGAACAGCACGGGCAAAACGCAGAGCCCGATGTTCACTACAGAAGTAATTTAGTGCCAGTCGAAAGAAGAGTGCCGTTCAAACACATTCTTAAACATACAGATGCAGGACCAAGGGCCTGTAAGATCTTGAACTGACCCGACCACTCTCTTCATAGGAGACTGGGAACACAAGTGGTGTTGCCTGGCTAGTTGCCAGCTGAGCACCAAGAACCTGAAGTCGAATATAAATTCTCTCTGTCTCAAGATTTAGTTTAGCTAAGAATGTGTAGTGCAAACAAGACCCAAACTTAGTCTTAGAGTTTTAGCTGAAGTTGTTTAACTTCTGAAATACTAAACCGTGGTTACACAGAAACACGAGAAAGGATGCAAATTAGACTTGGCCTTTTCGACCCAATGATTCAAACTTTAGCCACTAAGTGAATCTGAACATTCCTGCAGCAGCTGTCTCTTAAAGGATCCCTGAGTCTGGGCCTCAACTATCAGGTTCACAAGTATAACTACGCTTTGTATGAAGAAGTGAGTCTTGTTTTCTTTGCCCTAGATGGAGCCTATCTGCATTCCTCAGGATGTAACATACTTGGATATCATTTCTGTTCCATCTCCTTTAGTCTAAACTAAAGAGATTTAGCTCATTTGCCCTGTTACTGTACTGTATGACAATACCCTGTGACCAGGAATGAGGTGGTGCAAGAGCTCCTTCTGGTACAAACCTGTGACTTGCTAGGGAAATCATGTAAGAGTACCGCAAAGCCCAGAGTGAGCAGGGAAATAAACATTCCCGGGCGTCAAAACATTGGCCAGTGGAGGTCAGGGCCAAGAAGATGGAAGCTTGACGTCTATAGATCTCATTCACTTGTTTATCTTAGGAAATATAGCTTTAGCACAGATTTAGGTCATCAAGTCATGTGCATACGCCAGGGCCAATTCTTATTTTATTTTTTTAACAGAAAATTCTGTAGCTGCCATGCTGAGGTCATGCCAACACATTGTAAAGCTTTCAGTTCTGGAGGCAGTCCGCTGGGCAGTAATCTCTGCAAGTGAGGCTTGTGGGCTACAAGCCAGCCAGGTTGCATCTAGAGCAGCCTCTGGATAATAAAGCTGAGGAATTTCCATATTCCCGTCTCCTGAAAGATATCTCCCAGACCACAGGGAAGCATTCTAGCTCCTCTTGTAAGGGCTCTTTCCAAGGCTATATCCTTGTTGCACAATGTTGTGCTGGGCACGTGTAAAAGCAGCTTTTACCATTTGCTAGTCGGACGCTGATTGACTTCTTACCTCCCTCTCAGTCGATCTCGATCCTGGTGAAGAACGTGAAGAAGCACAGCATCACAGACAAGCAGCTGCAGGTCCTGCTGGCCTACGCGGAAGAGGACATCTACGACCAGTCCAGACAGGCAACAGCGTTCGGGCTGCTGAAGGTAAGCAGGCCTGCAGGATCAGATTCCATCTGCACTGGCGCTTTCCAGATAGACACTGGCACCACTGGAGGGGTGTTGGAAACAGCCAGAAAGTGAAATGGCACTGTCAGTAAAGCACAAAACATGCCACACAGTGGAGCCTTTGAAAGGATTTAAAGGTAATCGTCCCTGGAGTTTTCCCAAGGAGAGGAGACAGAGGTTGACATCCTCTACTGCTACTAATTAAATATTTGCCTCTTTTGAATACTCTTTCTATTTTTACGTAGGCTATTTTGTCGAGGCAGCTTGTTGTTCCGGAAATGGAAGATGTGATGCAGAAAGTGGCCAAGTTTTCTATAACTGGACAGAACGAACAGATCCGTGTCCAGTGTCGTCAGGTACGTTACAGCCTTTACTCAGGTATCCTCACGCACTATAAAAAAAAAACAAATTCAGGAAACTGCCAAATTAAAGGAAACCCTTGAGTAAATGAGGAATACCAGTCTACTGAAAGCAGGTGCTTCCACTCAGGTGTGGTTTTTCTGGACACTCCACTCAAAGCGCTAATGGGGACTCCCCTCCACCACCACCAGTGTGCAGCCCCACCTGGATGATGCACCAGTACTAGAATAATAATAATAATAATA